GAGAGCCAGAAAGCGAGAAATCACCCCCCAGGGGGGATGGCCACGCCGCAATCCCTTCTCCTCCTTTCTCCTCTTGGGATCTTGGGCACGCACGCACACACACATGCCTGGTGTGTCTAAGCCACCGGGTCCGGGACTTGAACCGCAGTCGACTACATGGGAGTCCAGTGACATAGCCATTACGCCACCTGCTGGTCCCCCTCAGGAGCTCTCTGCTGTCCAGGTAGTGGAGTCGAGTCCTCCACTGTGCAGAGACCCCGGCCAACGCATGCCTGTGTGCGCCCTCCCAGTGCACGGAAGGAGCCCATGCCCGCCCATCTGTCTGTCCGAGGCCTACTGCCCATTCAGCACACACAGGCCCCTCTAGCGGCAGTCACCAGAACACAACAGCACCGACAGTGGAAGGCAACTGTCACCCCCCCCCCATGACTTGGTGAGTCCTGACCCTGGCAGGGAGGCCGACCTGGCCTGGGCACGTAGGGTAGGGCCAGGCAGAAGGCTGAGCGAGCCCCGGGCAGCTTCCCCCTCTGGCTGTCCTGGCACCCCAGCTCTAGGCAGTGGGGCGGTGGCTCCAGGCCGTGAGCTCCTCCAAGTGTTGCCACCAACCTGCACCAGACCACGGCCCTCCCCCAGGGCCACTCAGCACAGCCCCAGCTTCCATGAGCTTTCTGCACAACTGGGGCCAAAGGACACTGTTGCACCTAACTCCCGGGCAACGCGGAACGATGGGAAACAGGAAGCAGCAGTGCGGCCCAAACTGTCTGGCCCAAGAAATCGCCCACACGTGGCCTCCTGCTCCCTCACTCCACGGTGCAGGCAGGGCCAAGGGCTGCTCCAAGGAAAGGGCTGGCCCTGCCCCAGTGTCATCCCACCTTTCGAGTCAGAGCACAGGCAGGCAGGGTGCGAGGCGGGGAGCGGGAGCCCAGCCCCTGCGAGCACCGCTCTAGCAGTGGCCCCACTCGCCTCTCCTGCTGGCCTGGCACAGACCCTGCTAACCGATGAATTAGACAGTCCCGGTTCTACACACGTTTCTAGTTTATTATGGAAAAGGTGAAAACGCCACCTTCCCCACAACAGCAACCAGTAAAATTTATCCAAAAAAAAACTCTTACAAAACAGGTCTGTTTCAGAATTTAAAAAAAAAAAAAAAAAAAAAAAAAAAAAGTCAAAAATAAAAAACAAAACAAAACAAAACACCCCAAAAAAACAAAAAACCTTTACATGAGTTTTTAAATCCTATCTTAAAACATGAAAGAAACGAATCCATCGCTGGTGCACAGCCTGGGCGCCACCCCACTGCACGCAAGGTGGGCTGCCTGGCCGTCCGTCCAGGTCCGCTCCGTTTGGGTCCTGGCCGGTTTAGCTGGTGTCCATCTGAAACACAGGGGAGAGTCCTGCTCGCACTGCTCCAGCCCACTCCACGCCGCCCCGCGGCCCCCCGGGGACCTACCCTGGCGTTGTAGGCGTCCAGCTGGGCGTCCAGCTCCTCTGCGGAGAGCTGCTGCTTGGAACTCCTGCCGGTGCCTCTGCCTCTTCCCCGGCTGGCGCCACGGCTCCCCCGCGCTCCCCCCACGGCGGCCTCTCCGGGTGCCACCCCCGCCGCCGAAGCCGCCGGAGCCTCGGGTTCTGGTCATGCCGCCTCTGTTCACACTAGCCAGGAGACACGGCACGTCCACACCCAGGAAGGCCCTGCGGGGAGGCGCCCCACCACCCTTCTGCACTCACCTCTGCACAGGCCTCCGCTGTGTGTCGATCTGTGATGTGACAAGCTGGATGTTCATGGGGCGGCCTGCGACAGGGCAGCGAACACCGTCAGGGGCTCTGCAGCCCAGCCGGCAGCACTGCGCCATCACCACGCACCACGGCAAAGGCCCTGGGCGCGTCCCCGACGCCCTGACAGGAATAGCCTGCGGGAGCCGTGGCGAGACAAGATGGGCCGGTGCCAAGACCCCTCGCATGTCAGGCCAGCCGGGGGCTGCGTGCATCTCAGGTGTCCTGGTGCTGGTGCGGGACAAGTGTGGGTGGCCCGACAGCGAGGACCTGCACGTGTGCCTACAACCACCCTGCACTCAGGTGCACCGAGGCGCTTGACAGACTCCATAGCAGTGACTCTTCTGGAGCCAAGTGGAGGAGGGGAGGGACAGAGCTTGGGGCATGGTGGTTCAGGAGAGGTTGGTCCAGAGATGTGGGGCCATGTGGGAGGAGGGAGGACAGAGACGAAGGGCCCATGCAGACGGTCCTAGGAGCCGGCCCCAAACCCACAAAGCCCAGTCACCAGGGCCCGGCCAGGCTCACCATCCAGAGGGACCCCGTTGTACTGTTTCATGGCCTTCAGGGCATCTGCCTTCCGCTCAAAGTGCACGTCTGCTGTCCCCAAGCTGCGGCCAGAACGGTCGTAGTGCACGGCCGCCTTCTTCAGCGTTCCGAACTCCGCAAAGAGAGTCGGAAGCGCGACCATTAGCAAGGGCACAGCTGTCTCCCCGGCCGCCCGGGGACCGTGCCTGGAGAGTGAGCTGCTGGGGTGCTTCCCGGGAGGCAGACATACGGGGATGGGGCAGTGGGGACGGGAACCGAGGGAGGGACGGGCAGGAGGGACAGCAGCTTCAGAGTGCTGGCTCAGTGGGCTCCTGGCGACCTGACATCTGCACTGTGGTGCAGGGAGAGGCGTTGCGAGGCCCCCAGGAAGGGACACGTCATTGGTTGCTATCTTCTTCAACAAAGGAAAATGTCGGATGCACCGAGGACTGTTCCAAGAAACCGCAAAGGCCAAGATTGCGGAGCATGGAAGCTGTCGGGTCCGCAGCCCAGCTCCCCGGGCCTGTCCTTCGGGAGCCCGGACCCCAGCCCCACCCCCAGAGGCAGATTCTGGCTCACCTTTCCCTCTCCTCCTACTCAAGCCTGCCGCAAAGTCTGAAGTCAAGCGCTGCCATGGAAACTGCCCTGACCTCAGGCAGGCTGGGAGTTGGAGAGGGAACCCAGAGTGTGGGGCTACTCCGGCCGCAGGCACACAGCGGGAAGTGGAGTTCACCAAAAGCGGTTTCCAGTGGATGCCAGAAACCACCTTGAAAAAAGTGTTGAGACACTGTGAGTGCTCACTGGCCTCGCTTCGGCCTCCCACGGCAAAGCCAAATGGCTGCGCTCCGGGCAGCTGAGCCGAGGGAGGCCCAGCACCCTGACCCAGCCATCTCCAAAACCGACACCCAAGAAGTTACTTCTTAACCAGAAAACAAGCTTAAATGCTTTTGGGTTTTAGCTTAAGAAAAAAAAGAAAAAGAAAAAAAAAAAAGAAAATAATAAGAAAAAAAAGAAAAAGCTCCAACCAAAGATGGGTTTGAAAATCAGACCCCTAACAAGACCTGGGGTGGGGAAGCAGGGGTGAGACCACAGGGTGCGAGGTCTTTGAGACACGGGGCTCCAGACAGGCAAAGGGAAAGACACAGAGGTCCCATCCTCCTGGGTCAGTGGGGAGGTCCTTCTTTCTCTGTGAACTCACTACCGGGGGCACGAGCTTAGAAGAGCCCGCAGCCTGGGTCTACCTGGAACACGGGAACTCTCACGTTCACAAGGATGTAAGACCCGGGAGGCTGTAACCACCCCAGCGTCCCAGCAGGGAAGAGCACCAGCTCCTGGAGCACGCTCGGGCCCTGCCTTTTACAACCGACCTCCCGGCCTCAGCCTAGCAACGTCTACTCCCCCGGAACCAGCCCAAAGGAGAGGAGACCAACCCCACAGCACACGGTCCATGCTGCGCCGAGTCAACAGCTCGCGAGAGGCTCCCTCTCTCACCTGGATATCGGCGTCTGACACTCCAAAATCCAGATTGGACACCAGCAGTTTGCCCCCCGTCCCCACGCCGGCACCACCCCCGAAGCCGCTGTCGAAAAGGTCGTGCTGCCACTTGTCGGGGAGCTGTTTGGGCTGAAGGGGAAGAACCGCGACAACGGGACCAGGCCCGTGAGTCCCCCTCCGGGCGCTCCCCGGCGAAGCCGCCGGCCCCAGGGCGCCGCGGCGC